AATGAATGAAGCTGTCAATAGAGATTACGTGCACTGCGATATGGACTCCACTGGGAATGTGATTTTTGCGAGTCGTGTAAGAGTTCCTTTTAGGGTTCTGTAGAAGAATTGTAAAAACGGAACCTTTAAAAGAAATTTCTGATGACCTCTGAGATAAAAAAAGTATGTAGTATCATAGATGCCGTTTGATGACCCAAAGATTGACATGTTGGTCAAGTGGTTGATTTCATAATAATAGTGATGAAATAGTCTGATACAATGCATCTAGAAAATGCAAAATGAAGATGTACGGAATACTGCGAGTAATGCATAGATACGAGCACATGCAAGTTCAGCTGACCTCTTACTTTTCTTGTTTTCTTTCACATAATCCGTGTGCCATTAGCGGACTGAAACTAAGCCTGAGATACTGAAAGTGCTTGAAAGATTTTTTTCACAATACAGACCAACATTCTAAATAGTATATTTGTAACCTTGTTTAGGTGATTTATAGATTCATCAAGTTAATTTAAAAGAAATTACTACTCATGATGTCAAAGCAAAAAGGTATTTGATTCCCCCACTACAAACTATCGCCTTACAATAAATCTCAATTTTCATTCAATCTCTTTATCTGTCACCTTACCACGCACCTTATAAAATAAGAACTACCCATACACTTTCGAGGGTGAATTACTTATGTGGCAGACGAAAACAATGAATGGCCGCCATTTTCGAGGGGAAATGACAACGATAAATGTTATTTCTTTCTCTCCACTATGTAAACGTCACTAATGAGTGCAGACAAAATAGAAATATCTAAAGGGGTCGAAATAATAGTGCGGTGTTATTATTCGGACTCTCAGTCAATAGGGGAAATCGGGAGATAATGATGATAAGGTGGGTAAGGGATGGCAAAAAGTAGATAAGTTACTTTTCCTTCGCCCCAATTCATTATATTTATTTAGGAACATTATACATATTCAAGGATCGCCTGAACTACTGAAGCCTACGTAGCCTTATTTTTTCTACTGTAGGCTAAAGTAGAAAAAACAAATACAATTTTGATTTACCACATGAATCAAATTTCTATTTGGTTTAAAAAATACACCTCCAGGTTCCCAAGCAGTAAATTACATAGACGGTTGATAATAATTTACTTTTCAGACAATCAGGTAGAGTCTACTGCACCTTTAGATTCATTTTTGTCGCAAAATAACACCTATTACAACTGTGTAGAACACCACATTGTTAAGCTTTATAATATGCTGTCGCTTAAACGTGGCCAGTCCTAACCAAACATTCGATAGCTTTATTTTGTTTCACATACGAGTGCAGCCATGTGCGTAACACAGGTACTCTGCACGCATTATCCCTTTGTTTTCAACCCTTAATTTAAAACCAACAATTTCTCTGCCCATTAAAATTCCGTTTCATAGATTCGATTTCTCATACATATTCAGAGGCACCCGGGGCAGAAGTCTGGTACGGTCCCACTAATGAAGCTTTCCGAGGGTTCGTGTCACTGGTTTAGGCAACGTGCACTGAGTTCATTCATACTAATAAGCTGCCCATTTGATTTTCACGCTAGAGTTGGTTCTTCAGTGGTTTTGGTGGTGAATCTAATGTGGCGCCAACAAATAGTGATGTGTAAAAATACAGATAAGGAAGTAAATAATTTATTATTTTATTACCTTACTGCTTTTAAGCAGTGGACGTCATTTGGTGGAAGCGAACGAATAAACGAGGAATTGAATATAATAATATGCTTGAACTTTCACTTGAACTATTCCAAGTGTAAAAGTTGAGTATTTTCCTACATTACGGTTTATATCTAATCCGATTCACCAGGATAACATAATAAAAAAAACCTCCGTGAATTGATGCCTATTTTAAATTGGAATGGCCGTAGTTTATTTAGCGTTTCCAATCGGATTATTGAGTGCTGGATTCGGATTTGACGTTCCGATAGTTTTTTTCAGCGCTCAAACTTTTGGCCCAAAAGCTTTTAAAAATGAATGCACGATAACGAGGTTGTTTTGACTAAAATATTATTTCAGTTACAAGCATCAATTAGTGACTACATTTATTGGTTTACGATTGTCGTTTTTTAACTAGCCATTATTGCTAAAATTCAAGCTACCTGCCTTATAAAACCGTTTCTTAAGGAATCTCTGAAGGTATCTACACGAAGAATTACAGCAGCTACTGAGCACCTAATAAACACGATCCACGCGTGTAAAACCGCGATTAACATTTAGTTTAATTTTAGCAATCGAGATTGGGTTTCATCAAACTTTCATCTTATCGAAAAGTTGTTACGCTCAATATTTTCCGTATATTAAATACCACTAGGAAAACCTTTTCCGGGGCATTACTAATAAATGGAAAATTAGATCCGCATTACACCGTTATAAGGGGCTATCGCGGTCTTTATCTCACCCCACTTTTCCGGGTCGGATAGCAAAAAGGGAAAATGCTGGGACCGCGAATATGTCCTGATATTGCGGTCCGCGCGTTTAAAGAATCTTGAATATAACGCCGGGTGTTATAAGAAATGCAACTTTAAGACTCTTGTAATAGATCCTTGTAACAACGTTCAAAACTCGACTCTATCTCAGACATAAATTGGTGTAAACTATGAAAGACCTAAGAAATTTCTCAATGCATGATTGGAATTGAATCGTTTTAGTGTTTTATATTTTTGTGCGAATGAACGTAGTGGAAAATGCCACGACCCACGGAATTTTGTGACAATCTCCTAAATTAAATAGCTTGTTACACCAATTTTAATTTTATTCGTGACTCCTTTAATCTTGAAGTGCCACTTATACTAGTCTTATAAAATTAATTAATTCTTAATCGAGAACCTCCTTACTAAGCAAAGGCAATTTATGTCGTATATACTGATAGCGTAGGTAGAATATAGAAGTACTTTATGTATTTTTCAGAAATAGGGTAATTCCAGGATACATGCCCCAGTGGGATAGGTGCCGCGATTTTAAATACACTATGTTACAAGCAACTTAGCCTAAAGTTATAGTACGTATAATAGAAAGGGACCTCCCCGTACCAATTTTCGCCTCGCAAACCATTAAAGAGTGCGTTCGTTTAGCCAGTGAGAGCAAAAATCTTCCGCGGCCAAACCTTAGCGAGCGTCGAAATAAAATTGGTAAGTATGTTTTAATGGATAATTTTTTTGTCAGCTGTAAAATGAAGCAGATTTTTATATAATTTGATAGACTATCATATAAATTAGACGGGATAGCTATGTTTAATTCGATTTTTAGTGTTATTATATTTTTTATTAAAAAAGGCACCTATCCTATGCGAAAAGGATAGTTGCCTAATTTTTTTTGGGTATAGATGCCCTTAGGGCCATGTCCCATGAACCTAGGGGCATCTATCCTAACCTGCTCTTTTTGTCACAAGTAGCAAGTAAGAAGAGAAAAAGAATGTAGTACGGCTAACCTTAGGAAAATAATAAATAGGGTGCCCTTCTGATCGAATTACCTTTTTACCCGACTTCGGGTGGATGTACTATGTACTACTTTTAATAAAAAATATTAAATTTCATTTTTAATTCATTTAATAGCAAACAATCTTAAATTATAATACTTGGCTTGTTTGATTTCAAAATGCATTTGATCCTTAGAATTCAAAAACTGTATTAACGAGTCATCTATCCCTGCATCAGGCATCTATCCTTTGAAGCAATCATACAGTGAGTCTTCTATCCCCCACATTAGGCGTCTATCCCACTTTTTAGAGGTCAATTAAAATGGTATTTACTCAGAATCGGTATAACTTAAACTAAAATAATTATAGTAATATCATAGACGAAAGACCAAAGTTTAAGTTTAGTTTGTCGGCCGTTTGGTGTAGTGGTTCGAAACGGACAACTATTCCGGAGGTAGCGGGTTCGATTCCCGCACAGTACAAACATTTGTGTGCATGAACATATTTGTTTGTATTGGACTGGGTGTTTTCTATGTATAATAAGTATGTATTTACAAAAAAAAAAAAAGTATTTAAGTATGTTTATATCCGTTGTCTAGTACCCATAGTACAAGCTTTGCTTAGTTTGGGACTAGAAGCGCAGTGTAAAATGTCCAAGGATATTTTTTTTTTTTATTTTTTTTTTTTTACAGATACTAAGGTCAAATTGTTGATAAAAACTTACTGACTGAGTTACAGAGCTGTTTCAAAAAGTGGGGCATCTATCCTGGACTTACCCTATCTGGAAAATACATAAAGTAGGTACCTACTTCTATATTCTATAATATCGAATACGATATTTAGAACCGTCAGGGCTAAATTACGCCAGCATGTAAAGTTGTATTTCATACCTAAGTAAGTACCTACTTAGTTTTGTTTAGTAAATAAGATTTTCTTTTTCCATTGATTACCAGGAAACCATCTCTACTATATTTTCACCTTTTAAAACCATGTAACTTGAAAGTTCCTTTACCGTATCTCACATTAATAACCGTAACGTTAACATAAATCCACGAAAGCACTCGTTTGTGACCGCTTTAAATTCAATTCTGCGAAGTTTCACCGATACAATGCCATAGCGCGATCACCTGGGGGCGCGTTTAGATTGAAATTTTCATTTTCATCACAACAGTCTCAGCCCTCCGCCTTCGGATTTGCATACACAATTTCTGCTTCTCAACGCTTACAAGTGCTTAGTTCGGTTGAGACGTCGAACTTTTTGCACGGTTGAAAAATTTCACTTACAACTTTTTTTGTTTTGAGCAATGGTGTGCAGGGTGAATTTAAAATTGAGTAATTCTGAAGAACGTAAGGTTTCGATGTTGATTGTGGTTGTTATTATCGTTTCAATAGCAAATCAGTTTTTAATTTGGCACCGATTCTTTTACCCTGTCCATAATTATATCATTTACGTATAGCCAAGATAACTTCTTAGCTTAGCATAGCCGAGTATCGTTACAACAATCGGGAATTACCCACTTGTTTGAATATAAAAGTCAAATTTCTTAATCTCTATGTCTTACCTCGATAGTGGTTTTGCCGGACTCCTGCCATTTCATCAAATGTTCTCCCTTCAGCGACCATCCCGGAGCGTAGCTGATGAGCCCCCCGCCCCCCGCGGCGCCCGCAGCCTTCGGCGTGTTCGCCTCACTCGACGGCTCCGACTTCGACTTCTTGGGGCTTGTCTGAAGCCGGAAAAAACTGCGCCCGTGGAGCTTGCAACTTTTCGAGGGGGAAAAGAAAAATGAACTCTTCTTAGGCGATTTTTCTTGTTCCTCACTCGGTTTGACCTCTTCAACCGGCGCTTCGTGCGTCGCAGTACTACTGCTAGGCTTTGGACCTGAGTTCTCGTCGGCCACAAATAACAGAGTCCGTTGGACGAATGGTGTCGCCTTATTGTAGAACTCATACTGCTCCGGTACTTTGAAGCTGGCTGGTATCGTTGTTCTGTGAGACTTTGAGAACCGCCGCTCCATGTATTTTCTTGCCATATCACTCCATTGAACTAATCACAATTTTATTCTACAATAATACTTATTTCAATAGCGATTTCTTTCAAGTATTGAAGATGTGGAAAAAAGGTAAAATAAACAGAGCAGAATAAATCTACGGCGTCCCCTCAACGTGGTAAGATAGGCGGGAGGGTATTCGTAAACTAATACCCCACCTGTCACAATCTGAAACTGAAGCGTTAACTGGAAATGCCATTTTGAAAAAAGAAAGAAAACATTTAATTGAAAGTTGTTGAAAAGTAAGAAAAGATTTTTAAGATTTTTTTTAATTACTCGTAGTTATGTGTTTTGTGCTTCTTAAAATCGTTTTATTAATTTTTTTTTATAATATTCACCTCAAAAAGTTCGGATAATTTTTTGTTGGTTGTGTTTTGTTTTAGCTTTCAACTACATCGATCACGTGGACAACATAGCAACGTCATCAGGGAAATTGAATTTTCATCAACATCATATTTCACGTGACGCAAAAAGTGTCAATATTGGTACCAGTTGGTGCTTCCAGTAATTCTATTACTTGGACGCTCGCAGCTACGGTTTGCAATTTTCGCGCGGAGCCTATCGATCGTTGCGTGGGTAAACACCGGCGCCCTTGCTTGTGCGTACCTACACCCTCACGCGATTTACACCTTTTTCAACAAGAGCAAAAAGACCAAATTTCCCAACCCAAAACACTATAAACAATGTAACGATCAAAGCCTTCAGCACCTACAAATTGTGTCTTGTTACGATACAAATAAGAGGGAAAATTCAGAATTTTCAGCTGGGCTTAGTAACTTTGAGACTGTGTCAAGAAAAAGTTTCATGGTGAAAGAAAGATTCAGCGGTTTCTTCAGAAATATTTTGAAATTTTAAGCTTTGAAAAGTGGCCTAATACAGAACATTAATTAATGATTTAATCAATGCCAAAGTTGTATGTAACTAGATAAGAAGAGTTACGAGATAAGACATTTAATAATTCTAAAAAGTTCATTTTCTCAAAACATTGTTTTATTACCGTCACTAACAATTACAGCTAATTTTGTTATGAAAATTAATAAAGCTGGCGCCAGTTACGTGAAACAAAACAGAGACATAAATCTTATAGTGTGTTAAGTGCACTTTTACATGCTTAATCCGTTTTCTCCAAAAACAAAAGAAAACAAAACGGCTAATTTCCGGATCACGAAAAAATAAAACCGTACGTCATCCAAATAGGATTTAAGACCGACATTAAGCGTTTCCATTCAAATTTCCCGACCATGATTAATTTCCTGCAATATACGGCGTGTTGTTAATGACATTACCGAAACAAAGGAAACGAGGAATAACAACTGAAGTAACAAGCCCTCTGTTTGTTAACACGCACACCACTTCACGAACTGACAACTTCGAATGCACCGCCCATTAACTATTATTTTCGGGAATATTAATAAAGCATTTTATTTCGACGGGGTATTACGACCTTTCTGTTAGTTGATGACGTATTCTGATAAGTTTACGCCCGCTATTTGATATGTAAAAGAATTTATTGAGCTCGAATTTTACTAAATATTAAACTGAAACGAGGGAAAGATACACTGTTACGTTTTCACGACCAAACCGCTGAACCAATTTTAATTAACTTTAGTACAGAAATAGATGGGACTTAGAAGAAGAATAAGGGCTACCTTTAATGCAAACTACTGAGAGTATAAGTTTCAACGACGATTCCATAAAATTGTAGGGATATAGGGTAACAACCATTTATTATTTCACCATAATGTAAATATTACGACCGCTTTTACTGCTAAATCGATTTAGAACTATAAAACAATACATATTGGGTACATTTTGGATGAATAGCAAACATATTGATATGTGTTGTGATGAATAAATGTAACAGCGTTGAAACTTACTTCAAAGTAGATTTCAAGCCATATTCGCTCGACCTGTGAACATTTCGAACTAAAGGAGATGATTTCTGTTCTGGCAAATGTCCAAGCTTTTAATATGGAGTCGGTGGCGTTTGGGAAATTTCAAATGCGTGTCACGCGAGACATCAAGGTATTCCTCATGAAACAAAATTTAAAACGTGTCTGCAAGCAAGTAGCCGTCAAAAAGAAGTCATAATAAAAATCAAGTAAAACTTTGCACGAATACTCATTTTGGGAAGAAATGCTTTCAGAAAGCAAAAATATTTATTAATGTAACAATTTTCATAGTTAACTTTAAAAGTGAAGTTTATCAGGCAACATTGCACATTTTATTATTAAACAACTTTGATTTCGAAATGAGGTCACCAGTATCGTAAAACGACATTCAAGTTTGAACGACCATTTAAAAACTAAATTGAGTACGTATTCAGAAAATCACCATCGTTCCTGTGATTTTAAGACCAATTAAGTTTATTTATTTCAGTTCTTGACATGTTTTTTGAATGAAATACTGTGAAATGTAACCTAATCGATAATTCCTCTGTTCTAAAGGCATGATTATATTACATTTATCCAAATTTAATAGATCTTTAGCTCTAAAGAAGTTCAAAATGACACAAAAAACATTTTTAGATATTCATGGATATCGGTGCCTTGTGCGTAGAATTATTGAGCCCTACTGTAAAAAATGTAATATAAAGGAATTTTCAGCATGCACAAAAACGTGACATCAATGGCATCCAATATGTAATCAGATCCGAGCCATTGGCAGTCAATACTCTTATTCTGAAGAAACTCGTTTCCCCTGTAGCCCCTTTTCTTTGGCGATACGAGGGGAATTATTACATTTCGATGACACAACGAATTCAAGATGACATATAGGGGCCGCACTTGACCTCCCGATACAACAGTAATAAAAGAAATATTTACTCGTAAAATTTCGGCAAGAAGTTTATTTTTGTATTTTATTGTAGGTAGGTACCGTTGCTTTCACTGTGCATTCGTCAGATGACTCTTAAAGCATTCCTTTATGATTGAATGAACTTTGTTACGAACTTAATGTGAAACTTTTGAGATCGAAAGAAGTAATAGTTGAATAAAAAAATACTAATAGGTTTTATATTTACTTTAAAAATACTAGTAGGATTAAACAACTATGTACTACAAATAAAAGATAACATAGAGACTTGCAAATCATGATGGTGTAATAATTATTATTACCTGTTAATTAAAATTACCCAAACAGAAGTTTACGTATCACCATAAACCTTTCATTTGAAGCAGACGTTACAGCACTAAATAGAAATAATGGAGTTTCAGTGGTTGACGGAAATAGTCGCCCCTACGGCCACGAACTTCACAATCTACCCGCGTCTATTTCGGGCTCATTGTAGTCGAAAGGCCAGGAAGCGACACTCTTTGATGCCGTTAGACAGCTTCGTCGGTAATTATTACGATTCTTATAACTCTACTTTTGTCTACTTTTACTTGGAATGCATTTTTTGGTGCCGTAGGTTAGGTTTGTCTCATTTTTCACTCGCAATAAGATCAATTAAAACATGGTCTCATGGGCAAATGGTCTTGGAGGGCTTATTTGCGTAGATATAGGAAAATTTAATGAACGTCTTAGCACTGATCTCTACAGTATGACGTACCTACTGTGCTCACGGATGCTCACAGCAGTAGTGAAAATCACAAAAATTTTACTTTTCATTGCCTACTCTTTCGTATGTCGAATATGTAGTTATTATTAGTCCATGCAAATAAATACATTTTAGACTGACTCTGATCACTGAATCCATGAACAATGAATTATATTACCCACACAACAGTAAAGGTGAGGTACGATGTATAATTCCACGAATTTCGGGCCAATTTCGTAGAAAATTGCGGTGTATTCAACCGAATCAATTTTCTCCTAAAATTTGTCCTTTTCAACCTTAAGTAAACCGCATGAGGCGTCAGCTTAATTAACGTGTCTCAAGCGAAATTGGATTAAGTTTCGCACCCTGGGGATCAAACGGCAAAGTTTATTGGCCGTCCCCGTATGAGAAATGTTGTGCATGAGATACTGTGTGATTGTGCATTACTTCATAACAAATTAATATCAAAATAATGGGATCCAAAAATTTTTGTATTGTACAGACTACCTACATTTAAACGATATCCGACGACACATGAAGGTAAACACTGTGACGTCTCATGTCATACTTTTTACACTATCGTCAGAAGTGCACTATACTTTATTATGACGCAAAGAAAACAATGACAGTATTTTTCTTGTTTCTAAATATTTATCCTAAAATTTGTTACATACCTACCCAATTGCTTTACTGTGTTTACATACTGTCTCTATCTTATTATCGAACTAGTAGCCGCCCGCAACTTCGTACGCGTGGGTCCCGTTTTACCCCCTTCATCTATCTTACGCGGCGCGGTTTAGATTTTTTCATACAAATGTTTGTTCCCGCTAACTCCCGTTCCCGTGGGAATTTTGCAATATCCTGTTGTAACTAAGCTTTAAGTTTACTAAGGTACCTGCATGCCAAATTTCAAGCGTCTAACTTAAGCGGTTTTGATTTTTCATACAAAAGGATTTTCCCGCTAAATCCCGTTCCCGTGGGATTTTTTGAAAATATACTTCATGTACAGAATTGACCTCTCTACAGATTAATATAAGTATAGATAAACAGGTAAATACATTATCAGTACACTCTTATTAGAACCCTACCTGCTTCGTAACATAACCAATTAATGTGTCACATCCAGTACAAGCTTCCAAGACACAAAACCCATGGGGAGAAGAGTAAGTGGAAAAGTTGTTGTCGAGTGTTACTTATTATAAGTACCGTAAGTATAATAAATATAATTTATCAAGGATTATTTCTTTTAATCCTTAGAAATATTATTAATGTGATAGAAGATTAATAATATTCAAAACTTTTTCGTTGCTTCGATAGCTTATTGTTGCCAAGAGTGGGCTTTATTCCATGTCATTACACACACGTAATTAATTCTTCTTAGGCTCAATTAAGGTGGGATTAACTTTTCCCTCACAATTTCACGCACCTTTGAATGCGGGTCTGAAAATTACAGGTTTGC